TCATCAACTTTATCCCCCTATAGTTGCTGCAACTCTGCACGTCACCCTTATTCTTAAAGATCGGCACTAATACACTACTTCTCCATTCCTCAGGCATCTTCTCACTCTCTAAAACCCTGTTAAACAAACTAGTTAAAAATTCCACTGCTGCCTCTCCTAGACACTTCCAGACCTCCACCGGGATGTCGTCCGGACCAACTGCCTTTCCACTTTTCATCCTCTTCAAAGTCTTCCTGACTTCATCCTTTCTAATCTTATCTACTTTCTGTTCCACAGAGGTCACCTCTTCTACTCTTTTTTCCCTCTCATTTTCCTCATTCATCAGCTCTTCAAAGTACTCCTTCCATCTCCTCTGTACACTCTCCTCACTTGTGAGCACCCTTCCATCTCTATCCTTAATAACTCTAACTTGCTACAGATGGGGGCAGTCATGGCCTAATGGTTAGAGAATCGGGTTCGAGTCTCAGGCTGGCAGGGATTGTAGGTGGGGGGGAGTGAACGACCAGTGCTCTCTTCCACCCTCAATACCACGACTGAGGTGAGACCCTTGAGCAAGGCACCGAACCTTGCACTTGGATGGGTTAAATGCAGAGCACAAATTCAGAGTATGAGTCACCATACTTGGCCACAAGTCACTTCACTTCATCTTTCCCATCTTGATCCCTCTGCCTAGCTAACCTGTACAAGTCCTTCTGTCCTTCTCTTGTGTCTAACCTAGTGTACAACTCGCCATATGCCTCCTGCTTGGCCTTAAATACCTCCCTCTTCACTATGTGCTGTAACTCCTTGTATTCCTGTCTATTCTCTTCAGTCCTGTCCATGTCCCACTTCTTCTTGGCTAACCTCTTCCTCTGGATACTATCCTGAACTTCCTCATTCCACCACCAAGTATCCTTATCTTCTTTCTTCCTTCCAGATGACACACCCAGCACCTTTCTTCCTGTCACCCTGATCACTTCTGCTGTAGTTTCCCAGTCATCTGGCAGCACTACCTGACCACCCAGAGCCTGCCTCAACTTCTGTCTAAAGTCCTCACAACATTCCTCCTTTTTCAGCTTCCACCACTTGGTTTTCTTCTCTATCTTTGACCTCTTCTTCTTACAGACCATCAAAGTCATCCTACACACCACCATCCTATGCTGTCTGGCTACACTCTCTCCCACTACCACTTTACAGTTACTAATCTCTTTCAGATTGCCTCTTCTACATAGGATGTAGTCTACCTGTGTGCTCCTACCTCCACTCTTGTAAGTCACTCTATGCTCCTCCCTCTTCTGAAAATAAGTGTTAACCACTGCCATGTCCATCCTCTTAGCAAAGTCCACTACCATCTGTCCTTCAAGGTTCCTTTCCTTAACTCCAAACTTGCCCATCACCTCCTCATCACCTGTGTTCCCCTCACCAACATGTCCATTAAAATCTGCACCTATCACCACTCTTTCACCCGTGGGAATATTCTCTATCACCTCATCTAATTCACTCCAGAATCTCTCCTTCTCCTCTAACTCACAACCTACCTGCGGGGCATATCCACGAACAACATTCAACATCACCCCTTCAATCTCTAACTTCAGACTCATCACCCTGTCTGACACTCTCTTCACCTCCAGAACATTCCTCACAAACTCCTCCTTCAGGACCACACCTACCCCATTTCTTGCTACCCTTCCACCTGGTCTCCTGTACACACAGTATATCCACCTTCCTTCTCTCCATCATATCAGCCAGCTCTCTACCTTTTCCTGTCATAGTACCAACATTCAGAGTTCCTATTCTCAGTCCTACACTCTTACCTTTCCTCTTCTCTCTCTGTCTACGCACTCTCCTCCCTCCTGTACTTCTTTGACCAACAGTAGCCCAATTTCCACCGGCGCTGATGGCGGTCGTTGTTAACCTGGGCCTCGACCGATCCGGTATGAAATTCAGAGTACTGACGATTCGCATGATTAAATTTGTCAATGTTTTAACCCTCTCTATTTATCCGGGCTTGGGACCGGCACAGAAGTCACTGTACTGTGACCCCCATGGCTAGATTAACAACAACAACAACAACAATAATAATAATAATAATAATAATAATAATAATAATAATAATAATAATCCCATGTCTATAAAACCACATAACATTTTAAATCAGACTTAAAAACCCATACAAACATGGATTGATGCCTATTTTTTTTTCTTTGGACTGAGGAAAATTTCAAATTCGATATCCCAGTCTGACCCTGCCTGTCTGAACATTGTAAAAAACTTTTGAGATTTGAGACGTAGCTATAGTTCATTCTCAGTATTCACTATTAAAACTGCACCTGGGAACTCATCCAGTTCAATGTATGAGAAAGTTGTTCTTCTTCTTTTGACTGTTCCCCCCACAGCAGATCATTGGTCTGCATATTTGATTTGGCACAGGTTTTACCCTGGATACCCTTCCTGAGGCAACCCTCCCCAACTTTATCCGGGTTTGGGACTGGCCCTGGAAGTACACTGTCATGTGCAAACCCCAGCGGCTGGGGTTGGTTCCCTGGCCAGGAATCAAACCTGGGCCATGACAATGAGAATGCCGAGGCCTAACCACTAGTCCTCCATGGACCCGCAGTTCACTGTATGAGAATACACTGTATAAAATCTTAAATTAAAAATAAACAATTATGCAAAATGAATGCACTTTGCTTGCTGGCATGTGTTTACTTAGCATTTTTGCTAGTGGTTTCTTGGTGTTGCTTCATTAAACACCCTTTCTTTTGTATATTAAGGAATAATATTGTATTTCACACAATAATTTTTACACAGTTGTTACTTCACTTATTTAACTGTACATGCATGAGAGAGATCATTTGGATAAATAGAATAGTATCATTGTGCAATTTTTGCACAGTGTTGAATGTTTGTATTCAATGTGGTTGAGTTTCCACTAACTCACAGTAAATGTTCCCAGTAATTATTTTTTTCCCTTCTGTGCTTTTTCTCCTTTTACAATAGAGTTTAGTAAAAAAAAAAAAAAATAAATCAACCCATGGCCCTGTGGTATTAATACAACATGTTCCTGTAACCTTGGAGAAAGACTGAGGTTATTATTTAACCTGAATTGATTTAAGTTGGACTGAAATGGAGAGAAATGTTCATGCGTGACTGTGATTTGGTCCTTTGGAACTCTTGCTTTACTGTGTAACATGTTCGCTGAGGTTAAATCCATCTCACAGGTCCAACATGAGCTGCTACATGATTACTGCGCTCAGAAACAGCACTGATGCAATAAAGAGTAACATCTAAGTGCAAAACACTGCAGACGTTTTTTTGCTCTTAAAAATTCATATCATAGCCAGTGTTAAATTCTTCCCGCCCAAATAATTGTATATACAGCGAGGAGTAACTGCACTCTCTCCACGTGTCATCCCGTCTGATTAAATTAGAATTCATTGAAAATTATCACATGCACTGAACAGGCTGGCTTTCTCATTGATTTGCCCTGAAATCAAATATTCCCTGACCCGAGCGTTTGGCTGAGTGAATGAAGCAGTCGTGTTTGCATAATGGCTTTTAAATTGGGTCACAGTGACGAACTGAATGTTAAGTTCTGTTTTATCGACGGCTGGAAACGCAAGAGGAGAGACACAAGGCAAGCAGGCTCAACTCCTGAGAGCAAACTTTCTTTTTTTTTCAATTGTATTCTTTTCCAGTCCTCTGATTTCTCTACAACATTGAATGACCCTGATTTTACCGTTAAACTCCCTGGACAAACAAACAAACAAACAAACACAAAATAAATAAAGAAAAACAAACATAATTAATACAACTAAACACAAACAAGCAAGCAAACAAACAAATAAATAAATAAATAACAGCTAAGCAAACAACAAACAAATAAATACAGATAAACAATAAAAAAGAAAAAATAAATGAATAAATAAATAACATTTAATTAAACAAATAATTAACTAACTAACTAACTAACTAAATAAATAAGTAAAAATTGTTAAGCAAACAACAAATAAATAAAAGAACTAAACAATCAAGTAAGCAAACAAACAATGCTGAAGTAAATAAATTATAAACAGCTGAGCAAACAAATAAATACAGCTAAGCAATCAAATAAACAAATTAATATATAGGAGAATAAATAAATAAACCTTGAGCAAATAAATATGATAGATATTATTCTATGTTAGAAAATTCAAAAATGTATTTCAACAGTCTATGCCCTGAAATTACAGTACAGTACGTGTATAATTCAAGTACATGTCAAATGTATATGTTCACATGATTTCAAACGTGTGACATCATGTGAACAATGTGAGCACGCATGAAAAAGAATGATTCATGTGAAAAAGAAACCACATGGGATACATGGGAAAATAACTTAATGTGTAAAAAACACGTTAAAATAAAAGTACATGCCCTAGTTGTGAAAATAAATGAATCATGTCTAATAAGCACAAGTGTACATTTCACATCAAGTGTACATGCGATGTGAATGTTCTGCATTAGCATAAAATCAGATGGTGTGTTGTTGGCTGGACTGTCCGTTATATGCAGAACATTTAGCATTGAAATCATTTGTATTAGAAGCAACAGTGACACAAGGGTGCCATTACATTTGGTAGGGCAAAGCACACATGTCTATAGCATTTCCCAGTATGTTGCAATGGACTGTGGCCTGTGGGATTACTTTGACCAGCAATGAAATAAGCACTGAAATTAGATCTCATGACACTGTGGGAATCTATAGCAGAAACAGTCGGCACTGCTATTAAGTCAAGCTGAGGCGTAATCAAGTATTATGACATATGCAACTTACTTTTTCCCCAGGGAGCTTAGATTATAAGGCAATTAAAAAAGGCGTTTACTGTTGCAGATATAGACAAACCTTTTCTTAAATTAACTTTAGTGGATAAACTGATGTTGGTGCATGAAATATTGTGAAAAACTATAGTGAAAATATAAAATAAAATAAAAAAAACACTGCAATTACACATTAATGTAGTGTCATGTGACTTCATTTATGTGTCTTTCCTACAACAGATCGAGAAAAAAAAAAAAAAACCACAAGCAGGAATTATACCAAACTGCTACTCAGTGGAACCCTGCACCACCTCCACTCTCCCTAATAGCTGCTTTCAAGTTATTTTTCTCTCTTTTCTCTTACTATATATTTCCATCCCATGTACTTCTTCCTGTTCTGCTTTTGTTCTTGATTGAGAGCTATGCAACAGGACTGAGGAGGACATGTGAAACCTTCTTTGAATATTATATAATCAGTCACCCCATTAGATCACTGGGAGTGAAGCATGATAAGGAACTGGCCAAAATGAGTCAGTGCACAGTGGACTGTGATCTAGATTCTGTCTGTTCTGCATTGTCACGAGTATCAAGTTCCTGAAGCAGCGAGGTCCAAGGGGTCCAAGGTCTGTTCATAAATAATACCCCCAGTGGCTAGTTCATGCCAGGTAACACAGACCAATAAAGACTTTACAGATAAGAACATACTGTTTAAGCTTTGTCAAATTCTTGCTGAAAATTGATTGGCTCTTGACAGTCATGTTTTTGCAGAAACCAGTCATCACTAGAAATTCACTTACAGATAAGTACAATGATGCAGTTCACCAAATTTCATTCCAATTGAACTTATATTTGCTAAGAAACAACATTTTGAACTTAACCCCACCCCCAGGAATGTAATACAATGGACAAAATATGTAATAAGCCGCACTTTCCATTTTTCCTTTTTTTTTTGTACGATCCTCACTATATATGACGTAACACTTCACTTTGTTTATTCCCAGATGCAAAGTGCTAAAACTGTGTGTTGTGTTTAGATTTGTATGCCAGGTTTGTACATGAAACACAAGGTTTTTTCAGGCACAAACCTATTAATACTGTACATCTGACCCTCGATGAATGTAAAAAGTGGAAACAAGATTTGAACATGGTCTGACAGAGATTCTGGGAAAACAATCTTGTGAAGTTGAACAACAACTATTACTCTTTTTAGCAGTTTTGACATAAATGGAAGATTAGAAATTGGTCAATTATTAGAAAACTCCTTAGGGTCCACACTGGTAATTTTGAAAATTGGAGTGACAGCAGCAGTTTTGAGATTCAAAGAAAAAAAAACTGTCTCAAGGGATCTCTTAATAATGTGAGAGATAACAGAAAGGAAAGCTTTAAGAACAGAGGTTGGGGTAAGATTGAACTTGGAGGGGTTTGAGTTTGCTCAGGATCCGGAAAGGTAAAGCAGGTTAGGAAGGAGTAAGGATGATGTGATTCTGGGTTGGGTGAATGGACAGGAGGGTAATGCTGACAGACCGCACCAATTTTATCCTTGACAGAACTTATGATAGCCTCATATTGGATTGGATTGGATTGGAAAGGTATGGGTAGGTGAAGTTTGTTTAAGGCTGCAAACAGGATTTTGGGCTTACCGCTACCGGTACTGATGGAGGGATAATAGGATGCACGAGCAGCATTGAGGGCATCCATATACTTGTTTACATTTATTCATTTGGCAGATACTTTTATCCAAAGTGACTTACAGTTGAGCTGAGCAGATAAGGGTTAAGCAGAACTTGGATTCAAACACACAACTGTCTGATCAGTAATTCATAGTGCTAACCATTAAGCCATCACTGGCCCACTCTGTGAATAGTTCTGATAGGCCATGATGATAATATAATTATAATGGCCCGAGATTCTCAGTGGTTTTCATACCTGCAGTTTGCAACTTTGCAATAAGTAATGAAATTCTTAATGGTGTTGTGTCGGGCATTGTTGAGCTTTTTTTTTTCTTACTTTCTCCCTAATTTATTCTTGGCCAAGTTCCACCCACCAGTCAGATCTCCCCATTATACAACAGCTACCAACCAGGGAAGGCAAAGGCTATCACATGAAACTAGCCAACCACATCTCTTTAAACTGCTGCTCATGCTGCTTCGCTGGGAGGTGTAACACCTTGAAATTGTTATTTTTATTTACTATCACACTCTTGCAAACCGGAATTAGTCTCTAGTCTTTTAGGCTATGAATCTTTAGAGTTTTTCCAAGTATTTTGTATTTATTGTTATTCACTATAGGGCTAAAAGTTTGAGGACACCTGACCATCACACCCATCACACCCCTGTGCACAAAGTGAGCTCCGTGAAGACATGGTGTGTTAAGGTTAAGTTAAGTTAATGCTCTTGTAGCTGAATGAGCAACAATCTCCACATCCACACTCCAGAATCTAGTCGAAAACCACGAAAGGGGGACCAACTCCATATGAATTCCCATGTTCCATGGTGTCATGGTCAAGTGTCATACTTTTGGCCATATAGTATATATTAAGGAAATGTTTTGATCAGCATGTGACAATCCAAAATCCTGTATTCCATGTGATTAATCTTTTATTTATTTATTTATTTATTTATTTATGTGTTATATACTATATGCTATTTATTTCTTGACTCAAGACTCCTATTCACAATATTCTCAAACTGAACAGTGCTTCATATTTCCAGCTCACTTATTACTGTTTGCTTTTTATATGACTGTATAATGACTGACTATAATGATTTATAATCTCATGTCACTCAGAACAGGATGGGATCCCTTTTGAG